GGAGGTAAGTCTATCGCACATAAAATATAAAGTCTACTGTGGTGGATTAAACAGCATAGAGTAGGGTAGAGTGAGCTCAGCTTACAGTAAAAATGTTGGGAAAAGTAATGAAACCAAAAAAGAAAGCAAACCAGATATTTAGTGCTTTAAAAAAGCCGTGTGACAGTGAAATGTGTTGTAAATTACATATAAAAACACCAAAGCGCCCGAGGAGGATGAGTCGTATCCAGTTCACATTGTATTATATTGCCAAATACAATCGTTTAAAGATAAAAACAGCATAACGTAGACATTGGGGGTGGGGGGTGGGGGGGGGGGGAACGACTCAACAGCGACTATCTTGCAGATCGGCAATGATCTATCACTTACAAGCGGAGTAACTTGAGACACCGTACGGTGAAATACCACTAAAGAATTTGTATATGAAATATCAAACTAGCACCAAGACACTGAGGATTCCAGTGGGCAATGCTCAATGAGATGAAAAGAGAAGTGGAGGAAGACAAATTTACCACGACCGATGAACCCCACTAAGTCAACACAGATAAAAGCTACAAAGATAATCAAATCAAAATTAAGGCACCATCTCAGTTACCAATAATTGTCATCTACTTCTTATAAGGCTGATAGGTACCTAACATTAGAGGTAAAAATAAGAAATCACCGAAATACTTGAGTTCATTTTGTGCCTGGAATAGAGAAGGCGACAATTTAACAACCTTTTTTCACAGTATGCAAATTGTATATATCTTCGCGGAGTAAATCTCATTTCATTTTCAAGAGTAAAAGTGTCCAATCTGCAGGCAGGCAGACCTTGTATGCTGCTTGTCTTTCATCGAGGCTACTACTAAAGCCATCTCTGAGATTTGTGGACAAATGCTCACCTTTTACCGATATCAATTTTGGCTTACAACATTTAAGTCGGGCAAATATACAACAAAATCAGAACGTCATAGAAATTTTTATGATGTTTAAAAATGGAGTGTAAAGTAAATTAGGAGAAAAAGGATTTCGAAATATTAAGTCGAAAATCGCATGAAAGTGCACTTTTATTCCAAAACAACAGCTTTTTAAAGGGAAAGCGTTAAACAACAAAAGCAATGGAAAAGAGTTGCAATGATAGCGGAAATATACACAAGTAAATGATATTTCATTGTTGGTCCTACAATGTTCTAATTATTATTGGCCTCCCTTATAGTAAAGGTGGTTCAAGTGAAAAATGGAAAAAATAACAGCATGTTTTTTTGGAATTGGCATTTCTGTAGGAGTGAGTATGAAATGGTATCCAAAACAATAGCCGTATCAATTTTGAAAATAAGTTATCATTAATAAATTTGCAAATCAGGAACCCTATCAGAAAGGAAAAAGCATACTGACGATTGCCTAAAACTGGAACTTAAACGTGTAACTAGTAGTCTTCATCACTCTAAGCGAAAAAGGAGACCTGGGTCAAATTGATGCTCCAACAATTTTGCTCACTCAACAATGACAAGCGGAAACAGCTAACAGCTTGTTACAACGACAAAAGGCGCCAAGAAGTCCATAGTAAAAAATATGCACGCACACATGAACGATAATGACGACGGTAAAAAAATTGGAGAAGCTCGTCTATGGAAAAGTATTAAGTTCAAGTAATCGAAGCTATAGCAAAATGATTTATAATTAAGAGAAAAAGAAACTTTTGGATAACATAAACAAAAAAACGAATAAGGTAAACCTAAGGCGCTGCTAATAATTCAAAGAATGACTTGAAGGCAGTCGGTCTACATAATAAAAAGAAAGTAACATAAGCTTTACAAATAAGTGGACTCTCATGAGGAACCAAACAGTTACAAATCCAAAGAATATAAAACAACTTACTGGTTAGAAAAACGAGTATATCAGCACCAAGGGGTCTATTCTCGTGCAATTTAAAGACAGTTTTACGCGCCTCTGTGACATAACAAGGTGTCGGATCCTGCAAATAGAACACATTCACTGGATGTTGTCTTCCCTCGACATGAAGATGTGAAACTGGAGTTAAACTCTTCCCGATTGTTTCATCAAGAACCGAAGAATCACGAAGATTCAGATCTTTGAAGTAATCAATAAAACTAAATGAAGGCAAAACGAAAATGTATCAAAGCGCGTTTAGTGAATTTAACGAAAATACATCACTAAAGATAGGCTACTTTTGGGCTTCTAGAGTGGCGGAAGAAATAACCACGCGAAGATCATTTAATCTTTTTCTTAAAATCTTTTTCACAAGACCTAAAAGAAGGTCTACCTGGAGTGAACGCTCGTGGACTTCATCCAGTATGATGACACGATAATTTTGAAGAAGAGGATCCCGAGTCATTTCCTGAATCAGCATTCCATCTGTCATGTAGAGAATAGATGTTCGGCCTGACTTGAAGCAATCCTCAAATCGAATCAGATAACCCACTTCGTTGCCAAGTCTACAATCTTTCTCTTCAGCTACTCGTGTTGCTAAGGTGATGGCTGCAACACGACGCGGCTGCGTTACGGCAATGTATTTCGAAGTCCCTTTAACCCAACCAGCCTCGTATATGTATTGCGGCAGTTGCGTGGATTTTCCACTCCCAGTTTCTCCTGTTACAACAACAACTCTGCAATAGCGAAAATGAATAAATGTATATAGAAAACTCCTACCTAGATGTCTCCAAAAGGTAAAGAAAATGACTGCGCCATTTAAATGTGGGTAAACTTTGACGCTGTTGATCAATCTGACGGATTCCCGTTATATTTGCGACAACTAACCCTTCTGCGTTTTCATCAATTTCTTCTGAAACGATTAGATCCTCTTCGCCAGGTTTCAAGAAACGAGCACGTTTTGAAGGAATAGCCATACTGAGAAAATTGAGACAGCCAATAACAACATTGAGGTATAGTTCTTGACCTTGAATAAACGTATGGCTTTCGGTCAATCAGAAATTTAAATCAATTATTTCAAAAATAATGGCCTGTAAATAATCCATCTTCTAAAATCACGAATAATTTAAATTTTAATAAAGAGTTATTTTTGTCATTTTGGCGGCGGTTAGTTTGAGAAAAGATAACTTATATTACCAATGGAGCCTTTGATTGTGGCACTTTTACCATATTTTGGCACGTGATTTATTATTCTCCTCTAATTCGCCTAAATGCATGTCACTGACAGATACACATTCTGACTTTTACGTTCGCAATCATATCGAATTTACCCATTTTTTATCCTACAGATGCACGTAATTTCTACATCTCGGATTTCCGCTAGTCATTGTATAAAGTTGTTTCGGTTCGCTTCTACAAATGCTATTAATAATCAAACCTACTGCCGTGAATTGGTGAAGTTAGTTTTTGGGTTCATATTCTTATTTTATCAGAAAAGCAGACTACTTTAATTACCTCTGTTGCTTACCACTTCCTCAACCACAGCAGCGCTTCGCCTTTGCCCTTCGCGCGTTTAATGTCGAAGTCTCCTTGGTGAGTCTCTTTTATTTATTCTTTCCTTGATCGTGACTTTATCCTTTAAGGTTTCGAGCCCTATATTCTTCTCAACGAGTCTCCTACCATAGCTGCTTCTGAAGTTATTACCCCAATTTAGGCCAAGTTTTAATTGTCAGCTAACTATCGTTACTACGCCACGTTTGCCTTGTATCAGGGTGATTGTTCTTAATAGCCCTTGTTTGCTAGTACTGTTCCCGTTTTCGATATTTGTGGTCAAGAGTTTCATGCGTATCTCTGATCGAAGTTTCTAAACATAATAGTCAACTATCTTGTTGACTAGACTCAGTCACAACACTTGATTCGCCCCTATGATTTTTTGGTAGACTTATTAAGCTGACAATCGTACCACTGATCAATAAAGTAAATAGTGGAATAGTCACCAAGTCTTGTGGCAACTTCTAATGGTGTTGAAAACCTTAGGGCTAATTAATAATAGGAATCTTTTTTATGTACATCTGTGAAAGTTAACTTTATTTATTTACCTCAGATTCGTGATCGCGCTCCAACCCCTCAAACGGCTAATCTGCGTTTCCAGTATTGGGAGGACTCGATCAAATCGCTTTTCAATGCTGGCAATGATAAACTCACCAGTGAAGTTGTTCATCGGTCACCCATTGAATCTGAGCTAAGTTGGTCTGTTAATAAGTTCACCGGTTGCATCTCCCGACATTGGCTTTTGCGTATTTTGATGGCTCGGGTATGCTATTCCTCCTTTCCATGCCTTTCTTTTACCTAAACCTACATTTGGAATACTTGATTAATAGCGTGAGCGGGTTGGAGATGTTGCATTTCAAAGTTGCGATGAGTTAGAGGAATATGCCGATTCAACTAACGCCCCTCTCCACTATGCTTTAGCAGAGGCTCTCGGTAAGGTTCTCGTCAAATCCTGTATTGTTCGTTCTATAATTCACTTTCTCCTATTTTTTTGCTAAATAGGCCTTTCTCTATATCTGTTGTAGGCCACAAATCACTTGCCGTGGATCACGCTTTATCACATTTAGCGAAGGCTCAAGGCATTATAACGCATTTAAGAAGTGTTGTACTTTTTGCCAGCCGATACCGAAATGTCATTTTGCCAACGGATTTACTGGTTAAGGTATGTATATACTACTAGTGGAATTTTACCATCTCTAGCACAACCTTCCTACTGAAGTAGCCCTGCGGTTATGCCGCAATAACCAGCAGTTTGATAGCGCATCCTTAGATTCATCTTCTGTTGAACGACTTCGTGATGTCTCGCAGGCCCTAGCGACTCGAGCTCGATATCACACAATCAAAGCTCTTTCTCTTCCCCCAATGAAATCGAAGGAGACTTCATCGCTTACGCTGCTACTTTTGCCTTCAATTCCAGTGTGTCGATTGCTTAGGGTATTCGCCGATCCCTGCAATTTTGATCCACGTCATCCTAAGTGGCTTCAGCCGCAATTAGAGAAAGGTCTTATGCCATTAAGAATTGCTTGGTATTCTGCTTTAAAGTCCACACCAAAACCACCTTGAGTAAAATTTCTTCTCGCTGGAATTTAAGTTGTAAATATATAGAAATATTAGTGCCCATAAAAAGCCCTTGGTTCTTTTTATTTCTAATTACATCATACCCCCCTACTCTCGGATATAATAGATCTTTGCGATTTAAGATTGAAGGTTGCTTTCGGGTTCCTAGTTGTATGCAATGCTGGTCAACCGCCATCGAGAATGAGGTACAACTGCAACGTTTCCCTTTTACTGATAGCTTCTCTTTGTGTTTTCTATTTAATTTGAAACTTCCTATTACGAATTTGAATGCCCATAGTATTAAACATCTAACAGCTAAATCGTTAATATACCGGTACAGACCACTACATCTGTTTATATCAGCATCAGTAAATGAAAGTGGAGCACGTTCTCATCCGGTGATATACGAAGTTACCTTCAGTGGTTTTCAGTCTTGATGCTTTTGTTCTCGATGTAAAGTTTTTCCAAAGGCCAGAATTTATGAGGAAATTGGTAAATCCTCGGATCATTGTGTTGAGCCTTGTTCAAAAAAGAATAGCCAGTGCCAACGAAAAATTATTAGATTAGCTATTTCATTTCGACCCCTCAGAGATGAACTTGCAATGGTTCCAAATTCTGTATGACGGTTTTCTCCTGTTTCGGCTACTTACTCATACTTCTCAAGAATCAATTTGGCACATCGTGACGTTATTACCTACCTAAACTATCTGTCCGCATAGGTTTTCTGACATCCGTTTGAAGAGTGCTATAATATCTTTACCTCCAAGCTGTCATCCGGACCGAAGTATCCGAGCTGTTCTTCGGGCTTCCATGCTTTCTCATTTTCTTAAAAGCGTATTGCTGTCGTTTTTTTCTACTTGTGCGTTTTGGCTACAAGCACAAGCCTCTCTCCTCTAAGCCCTTACCCTTCTTTCAATAAAATGTCAACCAGAGGTCACTCTTCGTCAAGTTGTTTTATGGGGGGTGTTGGCTCAGCCAAATTCCTTTTTACCCCCCCCCCCCCCCC